CCCTGGCTCCTTGGGGGGCACTTCTGTCCCCAGGCCCTCGCAGCTCTCGATGTCGGAGCCACTGCCTGGGGGGGAGGGTCTGGGTGAGGGCGTCTGAGCAGCACCGTTGGGGTGGGGGTGGGGCACTGATCACTTGTGTGTGTGTGTGTGTGTGCGCGCACGCACCCGGGCAGCCCCGTCACCGTCCTCCCTGGGGTTGCGCTGGGAGAAGGCACCTGGGCCAGGTGTCCAGGTGAGGTGTCTGGACAGGGATGGGGAGGGGTGATGCCTCTCTCACCTTCCTTTCCCTGCCTCAGTTTCCCTTTTTTTAAAAAACTGAAATTGCATGATGACAGCCAACACTTGTGTTTTTGAGAGAGAGTGGAAAGGAGGCGGGGAGACGATGTGAGAGAGACACACCAACTGGCTGCCTTCTGCACCTGCCCTGACCAGGGCTGGCCATGGAGCCTGCAACTGAGGGCTGTGCCATCGATTGGAATCGAACCCAGACCTCTTCAGTCTGCAGGTCGACGCTCTATCCACTGAGCAACCGGCCCGGGCTGTTTCCCTTTCTCATGCTTTGGCAGTGGGGCGCATGCCTTGCGGGTGGGGGATCCCCTGCCCAGGGCAGCCCTTTCCCCCTTGCTCCTCCTGCCCTGGACGGCTTCCTGCTTCCTCTCTCTTTGTTCTCTCTGGGCGGGGTCTGGGGCGGGGCTGCGGAGGAAGTGTCTGTTTTCTCAGGCTCCTGGTCTGGGGGTCAGATAACCCCAGGTCAGCCTGTCTGGCTGCCGGAAGGGGCTGGAGCCACAGAGGGCTATTTTTAGCTCCTTTCCAGGATGCATCCGGGCACTCTTCCTCCCCGTGGCCCTCCGTGGGGGTGAAGGAGGAGGTGGGCACTGGGGGCTGCTGGCTCTGCCCCGGGGTGGGGGTGGGGTCCTATCCCAGCCACTGCCCACCCTCTTCTGAGTGACCGAGTGACTGAGGCCAGAGGCCCCTGGATGGCTGTCGCATCGGTGACTTGCCTGCCTCGTGCACCGTGGCCCCTGCAGGCGCGGCCGGGAACCTGGGCGTCTCCCTGTCG